TTACAACAAATACACACTTATTAACTGGGACATATGGAGGCCTGAGAAATCACACACCTGTCACTTTTGCAGCACTGAGGGGGAATCCAGTGACTCTTGCATAATTAGTAAGTGTTCCACCACTGAGTGATAGTGCAAGACCTTGCCACATAGTTTGCCTGTATTGAAGATTCTCATAGGAAACAAACAAAACCGTTCTCTAAAAGAGACCATTAAAACATTTCCTTTCACTCAAATAAAACTTCAATTTTAAAAGGTACTTTCAAATTTACTTATGATACATTTCTTCAATATAGAGATAAATATTACCTTTAACACTCTACATCTACACTCCATAAAAATTGTCACACCTTAACAGGAGTTTAGGACAGGTGTCAGACCTATCCATTATGCTAACTCTGTTAACAATTGGAACAAATCATCCTATAAGCAATACACATGTCTTGTTGAGCACAATACCTAAATCAAAACTCTGTAGTTACTTTCTTAATAACTTTCCTATGCAAAATGAGTTTCATTGGTTTCTTTCATAAGAGTAGTTGTCATACTAGTATTAAAATGACAGCTATAACAGACAGCATTTATTGACAGTGACTATATGCTAGTTACAATGCTAATGACTTGGCATGGAATTACTTTTCATTTTTTCACCCTTGCATGTGTGTGATGTGTGTCTATGTGGGAATGCATGCATGTGAACGTATGTGAGTGTTCATGCACCAATGATAACCTTGCTTATTGTTCTCTCTATACCACATCTTGCTTTTATCTGAATATCTAAATGCAGTATCCCCACATATGCACAGTAAGCACTGAACTAGCTCCTAATGTGCTTCACATATGTTTATATCTTTGATAACTTAATACTGGCAACCTCAAAGAGACTTGTTGCCATTTTACAGACATGGGAGAGGAGGCATAGTTAATGGTTGCTCCCTGTTTGCTGCTATTCTATATTAAAGAATCTCAGCTTACAAAGGAACCCTCTGACCTGTTCTGCCTTATTAGGAGGCATAAGCTGTAGTGGTACCATAAATAGTCTAAGGATCCACATTACAATATCCAACATACCCCTCATTTGTAGAGAGAACCCAGCATGCAATGGACACCTAAAAATGTTATTTTCACATGAATGAGTAAACCCATAGTGATCAGCCTGTTTGTTCTCTCCATCTTAGTCAGAAACATTTTCCACACAGTCTTTCCTTGTAATTTTCCTAATATTTAAGGCTATAGAAAGATTTATAGACAAGTTTGGGAGTCTAGGTTCTTGAGTCACCAAACGACCCTGACTAGTGATCCATTCAACATTGCCAAAGAGGAGTCATAGTAGAGGATAAATCAACACATATAGAGCTTGTAGAACATAAAGCTCTATTTTTCCTCATTTGATAAAGTAAGTTGGATTGGGGTGCTTTTTAGTCTAATAAAAAACCAACCATACAAACCTCAAAGTAATCTAAATAACGTATTCATATATGTGAAAATATGAACTGAAATACAGCACCACATGAATCATCTCACAACCAGTCTCTGGTATAATGATTCAAAAAGTACAGAATCTTCATTCTAAAAATAGACACCTTATAAGAACTGGCATTGACCACACTTAAAAATGAACTTGGGTTTGTTTAGAAACAAAATACCAAAGCACTTTAGCTGTCAGCACTGAACTTGCCAAGAACAAAAGGAGAGTAATTGGATAATTGACAATGATTGGAAAGAGATTTGTCTTTCGGGGAGCAGAACCTGTTCTATATGTCACCCACAAAAGTAAAGAACAATGTGTTCCCTATCCAGATTTTATTATGTGCTGAATTCTTTGATTTATGGTAACTGGGGGGGAAAAGGATAAAATGTACCACTACCAAAAAGTAATTACACAGTAAAAATAAACTAACAGGTAGAATTGCTCTGATTATTTAACATACAGACAAATATCAGCTGGGAAATGATTTAGTAAGTGCACAAATGATACAAGTAATTTTAGAAGAATGGAAAGTCCTTGTTCTAAAATATTTACAGGCATAATGAGCATACCTCCTTTCTAATCACATCACAAGAACTATATTGAAAGGAAATCTAATCTCTGAAGAGATTACTTTTATTTATCTCAGTAAAATAGTGACTCTATGATAAGCCATGATCTCAACAAAACCTCCAGATTCACCCTCAAACTAGCTGATATTGGGTGGATAGACACCAGCCCGTAACAAGAATCCCATGTATTCTTAGGAAGCACACAGTCTTGAATTTGTGTTTTCACTAGAATCACATATCATGGAATTAGGAAAATAATTTTTTAGTTATTTATCAGGGTTCTTAATTTGTAGACACTGGAATTGTTGTGCAGACAGCTGAACTAAATTAGTGAAAAGCTAAGTAGGGAGGGCAGAAGAGATTTACAGATGTGCGCCCCATGCCTTCCCATCTTTGCCTGGAAGAGACCCACCTTACAACCATCCTGTTACAATGAACCTTAGCACCAGGCTCAAGGCTGGAGCTAAAACTAGCACATTTCAGGTGGGTGAATCCCCTCTTTCTTAAAAAACAAACAGCTCTGCAAATGTGTTGGAAGAAAAACAAGAGCTAGACTGCATGTCTGTAGCACAACTGACAAGGTAGAAATGTAAAGAAAAGCATTCCTCATCTAATTTGATTTTGAGAGTGTGAGGAGGCTGAATTTCCCCAGCTGGAGAGTCTCAGATGACAAAACTTACAAATTAATATGAATGTACAGATCTGGAGCCCGAAGGAAATCAGGCCAAGTCTAAGATAGATTCAGTTGCTGACCACAAGATAGAATTTTAATATGGAATGAAAACAAAAAGGCAACATCAAATCCTGCAACTCACTGCAAACCATTAGGACAATACCAGAGCAGCACCCCGGGGAGGCGAGCAGTGTCAGCAAAGCCAGACCTTGATTCCCCCATCGTCTTTTCTCTTCTCCCTCTTTCTCCAGTTGGAGCTCATTTTTTTTCTAAATCTAGGACACCTTTGCTTCTACTCTACAATTTTATTTATGTCCTTCACTGGTTATGAGAATTCAGAACCATAGCAAAGTATTTAAAACACATGCTTTGAAAAGGAAGAAAAGAAAGGCCTCCTGAGAAGAAAATCAACATAACACAACAGTCACTTTGTGGAATAAGGTCTATTTGCCTTTTTCAGAACCTGGTAAGGAACTAGCATTCTTCAACCTGCTTCCTCAAGATCTCCAGCTTGTATTTCTGGGATGCCCTGTGAAGGTTTTATGCATGTTCTGTGGTGAGACAGTGACATTTAGGACAGCTAGCACATAATGCTCCAAGCACAAGCTGGACATACTGGGCACTTCTCTTGCTAGAAGCCTCCTGTGGTTTAGTCCTCTGCAAAGGGCTGGGTTCCTTTCAAAAGTTCAAAATTGATTTTTGATGGAGAAGATAAGTGAAGAAATTTCAGTAAACTAAGAGATAGATTCTTTTGATTAAATGTCAAAAACAAAAGTAAAAGCAACAGCCCTCCAATAGACAGTACTTTGGAAATTCTGTAGAGTGTGGAAAAGATGGCCACTTCAGTGTAAAAGAATATCTACCTCTTGAGAATTTTTGTTTTCTGTAAATTTCCATAGATTTTAAAATGCATTTCTGTGCTTGGCACTACATATACATTTATGATAAATTATGTAACACTTGAAAGAGAAATCTCAAACTTGTGTGGATTGTGGAACTACTAAATGCTATAAATGCTTGTAAATAACCCTGTCTTCTGTGCCGTCACTGACCCTGTAAGTATGACGTATCCTGTTGGTAGCTCAATTTCCTGATGGGAGAAAGAAAGATTTGTCTTCATTATTAGAAGACCTACTCAGGTATAAATGATTGCTTTCTTGTGGTTCAACAATTTAGTGAAGGGGCTTGGAGCAGTATCCCAGGATTCACTGCTGTTAGCTCTGGAAAAATGACAAGGCATGATTGTACATTTATCCCAATACTTCCACAGCCTTGCTGGACATTTTGAACAACTTAGATCTTTTTCAAGTTTCTTTACCTTAAAGGTGAACCCTGGTATACAATCTGTCTTCATGTGCCTATAGCACAAAGAGAGATGCTCTCTCAGCCTGGACTCTAAGGGGAGTGCCTTGACCCTACCAAGAGTAAAATGATAGACTCTAGACATCCCCTATGTGGAAGGATTTGGCAATAGGGTGGGAGGGAGGGTGGAAGGGGAGTGCGGGAGGAGGGGAGGGAGAGGGAACTGGGATTGACATGTAAAACAAGCTATTTAAAATTAAAATAAAAAAAATAATGTAAATCATCAAAAAAAAAGAGAGCTAATATCATAGTAAGCAACATAAACTATTTTAACTGCAACAGTGTAGGTGCCAAAGAGAATCAAAGACAACAAGGACAAACTCAGAGGAGATACTGCAAGAATTCACATGAGAGAGGTTGATGGATATCCCAAATGGCAGCTAGGACAAACTCAGAGGAGACAGTGCAAGAATTCACACAACAGAGATGGTGGCTGTCCCAAAATGGCAGCTAGAAGAGGACAAGCCCCATAAATCTTTCAATAGAGTCATCAAGATTTGAAAGCAGGAAGTTTGTGAATTGTGACAGAAAGAGAAAAGGATAATCCTGGGGTTTGGGTTCATGTTATGTAAAATAACACAGATGGAACATAAAAAAAAAAAGGTGAACCTGACACGTTTTGATAACAATGCAAGTTTCTTGAGGGAGACATTTGTCCCTTATATTTTAAATTGAAAACAAGAATTCAGGAAGAAGGAGTGCATTTATAAAACTGTGCAGGGGAAAGAGGATTGGCAAGGGGGGCATGGAAAGGCAGAGAAGGAGTGCTCAAAATGCACTGAAAGTACACTGAATACACAGATGTACCAAAACTTTACCAAATAAATGTCTAGAACGAATATATTCACAGATACCTTTCACCTCCCTAGTACTCTACACGACATTCCCTTTAACTAAAAGTGGAAAATTTTACAGAAGCCCTTACCGACTTCCCACTTGAGAAGGCTGTTGTCCTCCCTCTCCATTTTGCCAATGACATACCAGATACATGCCATCCAGTGTGCAAGGAGAGCAAACATGGACATGAGCAGGGTGAGGACGATTGTGCTGTGCTGAGAGTAACGGTCAAGTTTCTGCAGGAGGCGCAAAAGACGCAGCAGCCGGACAGTCTTCAGAAGATGCACAAGGGACACCTGTGGTGGGGCAGAGAAGCATGGCTTGGCATAGAAACTACACTCGAGGCACAGCGTTTTATGTAACCCACACCCGAGTTTCTGAAATGAAGAATGATGGCAGTTTCCCCCTGTGGCCATACTGATGAGTGTTTCTGCTTCTCAGATACTATATCAAGAGGTGAAAAGATAAAGTAAGGTAGGCTAAAGGTTACATGTTAATTTAATTTTTCCTGCAAACACTTGGCTTTATTCATTATAATTGACTTTTTTCTATCTGATTGTATACAATTTTGTATATAACACCGTACAACTAAGACACATTGAGTGTAAGCTGTTTCTGTCACCTTGGACACATTTTCTGTCAATTCTGCTTTCCCTCCACAGAGTATAGATTTGTGATGTAAACAATCCATGCATAGTAAAGGTAATTTTAATTTAAAATGTTTGGTGTTCATTTTCTGAGGTTTGGTTTTCATTAAACCCATGCTTACCTGGAAAGTAACTGATCTAGAAACTTGAGTAAGTACCAGTGGCACTGTCTTTGTCATTTGCTAAACTGCCTGGCTTCTACCACTATCAAGAAACAGAGAAAAAATTCAATGAGGCATTCAGCCTGGAAGTTTGTCTCTGGAGTTTCACACAGGAGGGGGTACCTGTGTGCAGGCAGGCAGGCAGAAGAGAAGGAAAGGGAAGGGAGGAGAGGGGAAGGAGGGGAGAGAAGGGGGAGGAAGAATGAAGAATGGGAAGAATGAAATGAGGAGGAAAAGGGAAAAGGGTTTAAGAAAAGATTGTGTTGTATTCAAATATGGAATGATTCACAAAATTAGGGTAAAGAACAACTTTGTTGAATATCTGCTCATGCACTGAGACTTGAATATCTTATATCTTAATATTCTTTTTTGTCCATTCATTCATATATCAAATATGTGCTCAAGTCTTTCAAACATTAGCAATTTCTAATACCTTCTAATAATTTCCCCCAGAAACATGTGTCAATTTATGGCTTATTTCTAAGATTTGGGTGAATTTTAATCTGATTATCCCATTGCTGTCAGAATTCATGTCCCCACAAATTCATTGCTATGTTAGCAATATATGGCTTTAATTTTCCTCTCTGTCCTCCAGGTCCAATATATTCGACACATCTCAAGCTTTGTTTTACCTGAGATAAAGTTCCAATCCCTAAAAGCTGAACATTTGCCTCCTGAAGAGGCCAACTTGGATGCCAAGATTCTGGTGAAATTACTGAGACATCCACACCTGTGTCTACCAGATCTTCAATGACAATTCCATTTATTTGTATTTTTTATTTTGGTCTTTGCTCACTTACAGAAGTTTACCAAAATATCTGCTTTATGTTTTTTCCTGAAATTTTTGTCCTCTCTTCTAAAGCTGTTCTATTATCCAGAACATTATGGTTTCTTACAATAGGTACTAGATATTCTAATTGCTCTGAGAAGGAGTTTGCAATGAAAGGAGATGACTGAACCAAATTTGTCATGGGGCCCATGAGAGGCCCCTCAGGGGGTTTCCCAATGGAAAATTGTTACCTTGACAGTCCCTTGTTGACTTACATTCCTTTGTGCAATGCCTGCCTTTGCCACACCTTTGCATAATCCAGAAGGGAGGGGTGTTCTGTTTTAATTATGCTTAGAAAAAATATTGCTTCTAGGAACTTTCTGCTTACAGTCCCTTTCAAGGTGACCTTTTTTGCCACAATTGAAACATGTGACGTTTTGATGTTTTTAAAGCCTCAAGAAATCTCCTCTCCTATCCATGTAGCAGCGTGGTAATGAGATTTAATATCAATCATATCTTCGATCCATTCCTCCAAAGGTACCCCTCTGGAGTGAGGTCTCTCTTTTCATTATGTGAGCCCCTGAGATGTAACGTAGGTCACCAGGCTCAGAAGCAAGCACCTTTCCCTGATGAGCACGCCTGGGAGCCTGGCTGCTCTTATGCTCTTTTATTACTTCTTGATACTCTTTATGGTCAAGTTTAGCTTTCTCTCTCCCGTCAGTCAAAGTCAAGATTTCATTACCATTTATCAAATTGGTATTGAATTGGTCACATGTTAGGATTATATAATGTCTACATTGTCATTTAGAGAATTGTTGTGAATAAAGTTTGTTTGATAGCTGAATTTGATAGATAGGTGGAATTTTTAAGTGAGGTGAACCTGGTGCTGAACTCCCAGTGGGGGATGTCATCTGAATATGGTATTGATACAAATGCCTCATTTTCTCCGGCCTCAGTGAGGTTGGGGTGGGGGTGGGAAGGAATGTGGATACTTCCCTATGTGCCGTTTTCATAAGCAGGTTCGGAATGACATATTCTGGTGATGTGCTGGGCCATTTCAAACAAAGGAACAGAAACACTGCTAAACTTGCTCACACCAGAGTCAACTCTGTGAATGAGGAGTCAGGTGTTTGATGAACTGGTGAGGATGGCTATCCTGAATTTGTCATGAATGAGAATTGTAAGCTACTTGTGGACAGGTGTATCTGTCCACACTGGTAGCAGTTTCTACTTTTACCAACTGGGCGTGTCCTTCTTCCAGGCTGTCAGCTGGGGAAACAGAAGTCTGTGTGAGAGAGGGGTGGGAATAAAAGATTTTTTCTGATGCCAGAAATTAGTTTTAACTTGCTCAGGGGCTGTGGAAATTTTTGTGCCCATTTTGTGACGTTCTCTTATTTCCTCGGATGGTAAATGGTCCATACCTTTGCCTTTCCACTTTATCTGTCATTCCTGGCTTTGTCTCTGTCTCACAGGACCTTCCACGGTGAGATGCATTGTGGATTTCAATAGGTGAATATATGAATGTATTGGAAACATTTGCTAAGGGCAGCTAGGAGCAGGGAGAGTTGAAGCCCACAGAGCACTTTCAATGTCTGTACTGCATTTTGAGCTTCTTCTATGGAAATATATTCACTGGACACATTTAAAATCTGGTAGGAGCTGCCTTATTTTAGTTTCCATGTGGAAGAACATTTCTTATAAGTTGTTCTCATCACCTGTTTTCTTGGAAAGGGAGCAGAATATCTTGAACAAGCTTTTCTGTTCAAATAGAACATTTTATACTTATTAACTTAGCAGATTCCTGCTGCTTTTTAAATGACCAGACCTGTGGAAAACAGGAGCCATGTCTCTGGTAGAAGTTTCTTCTCCCTCTTGTTACTCTTCCTGACTTATAGCATTTCCCAAAGCATTTATCCAAGATTCCCAAGACACTGAGCAAAAGAGGGAGGGGATCAGTGAAGCTGTCACCAAATAGGAGAATCTTACCTGTTAATTTGGACAACAATGATGTCAATTGTATAGAAACATACACTGAATGTCTCTTGTATATATTTATCATTCTATATTACATATATGTGTTTAACATTATCTTATTTCAGTACCCAGAGAAAACCAAAACTCTAACATTTAACAACAAAGCAGCAAATTAATTTAAAACCAAATTGCGTTAAACAGAATTTACTTGACCATTTGGCCAGGGAATTTAGAATACTTTACTAAACATTTTTTAACTTATATGCTACTTTTAGATTATTTTGCAGGTTTTCAACGTCCTTGTTTTAAGACACTGCATTTTCATTATTGTACTTGTCTAGACAAATTCAATCTCCCAAAGTGCTCAGTGTCATGTTGACTGATAAACTTTTCTTTCTTGGTTGCTTTCCTACTAATGATATAACCCTTAAACTCTCACTCAAAGCAAAATAACAAAAAAAGACAAATGAAACTCTCATGGCACAGGCAATTAACAAATGTGCAAATATGTAAGTTTGCACTAAGCAGTTGGGATAGAAGTTGTGTGTTCATCTTGAAGTCAACGATGTTTGCATTTGAAATTCTGATCACTTTGGTACACTTGGAAACTAAGTCATTAAATTCTTCAAAAAATAGAATTTATATGAGGGCTATAAACTGGTAAGGGAATTTGTTTAACTTGAGTTAAAGTTTAGTAAATTTGTTTTTACAGGCTAAAATTGGTTACCACAGCAAAACCATTCAACAAATCAAAACTGTTCTTCCTAAACATCTTTCTAGTTATAAAGAAGCACTTGATGGTTTTTAAAAAAATGTCCATCAGTGAAGGTAAAAATAGTTACTACTGCAAATGGAACACTTTCTTCCTTGTGAGGAGACATGGTGATATGTACAAGAAGAGGAAAAACAAGTGTTAATTAGCTCAAAGTTGATGTTAAGGCTGTGTGATTTACTCTAACTTGAGCATCCATTCCTCTTTGTCTGGTCAGTTTTCAGTTAGCTTTGTTAATGAATAACGAAATAATAGAGACAGTTAAAGAAATGTTTTGCAATTTCCCACCAAACTCTCTATTTGATTTCCTTTTAAGAATCTGCTTCTGTCCCCAGATGTGTTTTGGTATCAAAGGATTTGTTTAGTGAGTCAGGTTTTCTTTCTGTATATGTTGTATCTGGTTCTGAGCATTGAAGGAAGATATCAGAAGTAATTCACCTCCTCAATTGGGGAATCTGGCCTGTATGTCACTGGATGTCTCAGAATACTTATTACAGAGGACACGAACCCCAGGGAGCATAGACTGCAAATGATATTTTAGGACAAACATGAGAAAATCAAACACAGCGCTTAAAGGCCACATGCAAGATGTCTCTACTCACCACTGTGACATTGAAAGCATACAGGAGGTCAAAGGGCAGGGCAGCAATCAAATCAATGATGAACCAGGTGGTGACGTAGTGGATGCAAATAGATCTAGCTTCAAAGATAACTTGGCCAGACTTGCTGACATAAGTTGTTCGGAAATTTAGAATAATATCTGCTCGGGGAAAAAACAACAATGATTAAGAAAAAGTGAAGGAAAGGAGAGGGAAAAGAGTAAAAATAATGAAAAAGATAATAAAGGAAGAGGGCAACTTGGGTAGGCAATCAGTTAGGGAAGAAGAAAGAAGATATGTGTATTCAATCATACAAAATCAAGCAAAAAGTAAATTTAAGCTATTTCAGTTTAGAGTCCTCACGGATTCTGTGTAAACTAAGAGAAAATACGGAAGAAGGGCAAAGGACACTTGGGACACTGTCCAAATGACTGAACAATTACAGCCATTAGAACAGTGATGACATTGCAAAGTGCCCAACATGCAATGTTCTAGAGCTTGTCTGAAGGTTGCTCCATCCCCATGGTAGAGATAGAAACAAACTCATGCATATCATCGTAGTCAACAGCTGTGTGTGTAATGCTACTTAATTCCATGCACAAAGTTTAGCAGATCACTGTGTACAAGAAATTCCCCTTGGCTTGAAGTCACATCTCTTAACAAGTACAACAGAAATTAATTTGGATCTATAGCTTAATATTTCCCATTCTGTTCTTGTATTTTATGTAATCATTTTAAACTTCCATTCCTTTGGTATGCATTTAAAGGACAAACACAAAACCAAGCATGTTTTCTTAATTTTGAAGGCCTCTGTAAAAGTGAATATTTCTCAGGCTGACATCTTACTTTCTGGGTTAAAAATTTAGATGTATGGTCTCTTTAAGATCAAGTACATGCATATCACAGGGAATTTAGGATGGTTACACACATAAGAGGTTGTCACATATGGGCAGCTGACTCTAACAGAAAGACATTACTCCATGAACCTTATTTTGGGGTAATACATTGGTTCAACTCCTCACAAATCAAATCAGGATACATGGGGAAATCAGTATCTCAGTTAACAAAACTAGGAATTGGAGTAATTAAAAAATAGTGAAAGCTCGAAGTTACAGAATGGATGAACTGGCATATTCTGTGGCTAATTTAAACTATTAAAACAAAGAACAGAGTTCTGTGAGGCGAAATGTATATTGACGTCATGATCATAATGTTGGCTGCTAAAAACTAATCATTGATTAAACCCCAGCAAAACAACAACAAAAGAAAAAAGAAGGTACAAAGTATTGTTAGGAGATTAGACAGGGAGACAGAGGTGGATATGATCATATTTCATTGTATTTAGTTATGAAATGAGAAAATATTTAAAACTGTTAAAGATAAATGAAAAAAATTAAAAACTCATGGTTATGCTCATTATTAACTTGAATTTCACTTTGTGCTCACCCTTCTGTAGTAGACTAAGCATCCATGCCCTGACCACCATCCTGCACACAGATACTTGCTGGTAGAATCTGTGTACACAGCAATAAGCATCCATTGTCGGGCTACACTTTCAAGCAAAAGGGGGCTGTGCTGAGGGGCCTGCCCAAGCAAGCCCTCTGAAGAGACTTTTCTTCAGTTGGTTACAGGTGATTAAAAGATGGTAGAAAATAGCAATCATATCATAGAGCTAACCATGTATCAGGGCCAATTGGTGGCCTCTAAGTGCTATGTGAAACCCCAAACTGATGTTTGCTAACTAAGTGTCTATTAAGGAGCATCCACAATGGTGGGTTAGAAGCAAGCTGCACTTGCAGTTTTCTATATTTCAGTAGCAAACACCACAGCTCCTCAGTGGCGTGTGAAACTGTGAGGGAGACAAGCAGAGGAGAGCATGACCTAAAAACTGATGAAGAATGAGTGTAAGGACCATTTGAAGGGAGCATCCTTGTTTCTCAAATATAAACTGTTTAAAAGGCAGCTGGTGAAATGTGTATTGCTTTGGGTAAAGTCCCTGCTTTTTCTCTTGGAATCCATAGCAAATAGTTCTACACTGTCTGAATATCACCCACTGAGTGCTGAGACATGGTGAAGCAACCGCACTAGGAAATGCAGGCAGGATTCCAATTAGAATTAAGAAATGAGGCTCATTATTAAGAAGAAGGGTCAGTGGGCCCCTAAGGAGGCTCAGTGGGCTGAGCAGACATGCATGATCCACACAGTTGACTTAGCCTTGTGAACCAGAGCTGTCTTAAGTGGAACAGCATGGAACCTGTGGGGCCTCCTCAATGTAGTCCAGTCTGCAGTTTGACCCTCTTGGTGGGATCTAGCTGGAAAGAGGAGGTACAAGTACACTGACCCAATTTGCCCCCCATAATCTCACTCTGAAGGAACTTTGGTTCCGTGCTACCATGCACTAGCGGCCAGGCGAGCAAAGCTATTCCATGCAGCTCTGGTCCTGAACAATTCTTGTTGATGCAAAGCAAGCATCATATAAAAAAAGAGAAGAGGGAATACCCTTAACCTCTGCCTTCTCCAAGGGCCACAGAACCAAGTAGACAAGGAAATAAGTATAAAACCTAGCAGGGAGGGTTCAACCATGCACATGGCCACCCCCACCCCCGGTAAGACAGCACATGGCCTGTCATCCCCCTTTTTTATTTTCCTGTTTTCTAAGTTGATTTATAGATGTGCATGCGCACATGCATGTGCGTGGACACACACACACACCCATACACGCAGTCGTATTTTTGTTCTATTATTTTCTTTTTTGGTTGTCCTTCCTCCTCTTTCTCATCCTTTAATAGTTGATTTCTTTTATTCTCTCTATATACATCATTTTTCTGTTTTAACATAATTATGGCTTTCCCTTCATACCTTTCCTTTGCTTGTTCCCTTTCTACTTTTTGAATATTCTTTTGTTTTTGTTTTCTATTTATTATTTTCTTTTATGCCAAGATATTGCAACCTAATCTCAAATTCTGCTACAAAGCCACAGTGACAATGTTGTGTGGCACTGGCACAAAGCAGATGTGGAATGGAATAGGACACTCAGAAACAAACACACCAACGTTCAGCTAACTGATTCTCAGCATGGGCCAAAAGCACTCACTGCGAGAAAAGAAACAAAACAAAGCAAACCCTCTTCAACAAACAGTGCTGGGAAAGTAGACATTCACATGTAGAAGACTAAAGCTAACTAGATTCGAATTTTATTCACCTGTGAACAAAAGTCATCTAAAAAAATGGGTTTGTAGACCTTGAAAGAACAATAATCAATTTTGTATGGAAAAACAAAAGACCCAGGACAGCCAAAACAACCCTGTTCAACAAGGCAACGTCCGGAGGCATCACCATCCCTGACCTCAAGCTCTATTATAGAGCTATAGTCCTGAAAACAGCTTGGTATTGGCACAAAAATAGACAGGTAGACCAATGGAATCGAATTGAAAACCCGGGTATTAACCCACACACATACGAACATCTGATCTTTGACAAAGAAGCTAAAAATATACAATGGAATAAAGAAAGCATCTTCAACAAATGGTGCTGGCATAATTGGAGACTGGCATGTAGAAGAATGCAGATCGATCCATGTTTATCGCCATGCACAAAACTTAAGTCCAAATGGATCAAAGACCTCAACATAAATCCAGCCACACTGAACCTCTTAGAAGAGAAAGTGGGTGGTACCCTTGAACGAATTGGTACAGGAGATAGCTTCCTGAACATAACACCAGTAGCACAGACAGTGAGATCAACAATTAATAAATGGGACCTACTGAAACTGAGAAACTTCTGTAAGGCAAAGGACACAGTCAGCAAGACAAAAAGGCAGCCCACAGAATGGGAAAAAATATTCACTAATCCCACATCTGACAGAGGGTTGATCTCCAAAATTTACAAAGAACTCAAGAAGCAAGTCTCCAAAACAGCAAAGGACCCAATTAAAAAGTGGGCTGCAGAACTAAATAGAGAGTTTTCAATAGAGGAGTCTAAAATGGCTGAGAGGCACTTGAGAAAGTGCTCAACATCCTTAGCCATCAGGGAAATGCAAATCAAAACAACTCTGAGATACCATCTCACTCCTGTCAGAATGGCTAAAATCAAAAACACCAATGACAATATATGCTGGAGAGGATGTGGTGAAAGGGGAACACTCCTCCATTGCTGGTGGGAGTGCCAACTGGTTCAGCCACTTTGGAAATCAGTATGGAGATTCCTCAGAAAAATGGGAATAAACCTACCACAAGACCCAGCAACTCCACTCTTAGGCATATATCCAAAAGATGCCCATTCATACAACAAAGATGTCTGTTCCACTATGTTCATAGCAGCTTTATTTGTAATAGCCAGAACTTGAAAGCAACCTAGATGTCCCTCACCCGAAGAGTGGATAGAGAAAATGTGGTACATCTACACAATGGAGTACTATTCAGCAGAAAAAAATAATGGAATCATGAGATTCGCAGGCAAATGGATGACACTAGAAGAAACCATCCTGAGTGAGGTAACCCAGTCACAAAAAGAGAAACATGGCATGTACTCTCTCATATATGGATTTTAGACATAGATCTGGGGAGTGCCAGCCTACAATCCTATGGCCAGAGAGTCTGGGAAACAGAAACTTCATTTAGTGGCTGATCGAAGAAGAGGCAGACTCCCTTGGTTAAGTACTGAGCTGAACTCAAGAAAGCCAGTAACAGAGAGGGAGGACTGGTGATCAAAGGGATTAAGACTGGGCTGGTTTAACCCCCAGAAACAGCTGACTAGACAAAGGTTAACTCTTGAATCCCAGGCATCAGTCCCAGGGGGGACTGATCAATACCCCCCTGAATTTGGGTGTCAGTGAGGAGGCCTAGGGAATCTATTGAGCCTTGGGCAGCAGATCAGTACCCATCCCAAGTAAACACACGGACTTTGGACTCCCATAGAACAATGTGAGGTGCACTCTCACCCTGAACTCTTGGGGAAGGGTCTAGGCCCTGCCCTATATGAAATGACAGACTATGGACACCCCCATGGAGGGCCTCACCCTCCCTGGGGGAATGAGAGGATAACGGGGGGGGGGGTTGGGGGAAGGGCACGGGAGGAGGGGAGGGAATGGGAGAGGGACCTGGAACTGACTTGTGAAGCAACCTCGTTTCTTATCTAAATTTAAACTGGAAAATTAAAAATA